AGCAAACATCGTCCTATGTATGCCCCTGTCAAGGATAGACTGGGTCAATCTGCCATCCCGAAGACCCTAACACCTCTTGCTGTTACTAGATCCCGTCGTTCCTCAACAAGCAATAGCCATCATTTGAAACAGACGTACTGCAGGACAGACTTCTTCAAGTTCTCCTATTTCCCTCGTACGTGCAAGGACTGGAATAAGTTACCTGATAGCGTTATCAACACAGGATCAATTGATTCCTTTAGGTCCCATGCGCTACAATTCCTAAAAGATTGCTCTATTCCATGACCATGTGCTTCGTTTCCGTGCCTTTATATGGACTAACAAGTCTGTCGACACGTACAGAGGAAGAAGAAGAAGGGTCAGGGTAAATAGTCGAAACAAAAATTTTGGACGTAGTTTTCCGCATGAAGACATTATATAAAATGAGGAGCTCAATGGGAAGTACACCTTTTTACTATTTAAGAATTGTGTCAGACATTATAAGTCTGACATCATATGGTGTATTGCACAAGAGTAATTTTTTAGACATTAACGTAATCTCATTTTCATTCATGAGTGACACTTTGTGAGGCCTCGTTAACCTCATCGTATATTAACTACACCTGTACATGTATATGTATGTTTCATTGGATCTTAGGTTTGTGCAATTTATGTTTGTCCGTAAATGTTGTAAACTGGTGGTGGTGGTTATTTTACCTGACTGCTAAGAAGGCATAAATGCTTGTAAGTAAGCAACCAGACGGCCGACGGCTTTAGGTCCTCTCCGAGGGACCTGGTAATGAGAATTAATGCCTTATCAAAAGGCACTAGCGCATCGCCTTGTTTTTGATCCCGAGTCACCGGATTACGAGACCACTGCTCTGCTGACTGAGCTATCGCGCCTCCTTTAGACACATGTATGTTCCGAGTCACCTTCTTCATCCTAGCAAACATTTGTAAGATGTTTGAAGTATGGTAGATAGAACTATAATAAAATGTGATTCACTAAATAAAGTATGCCCCCCCCAAAAATCAAAATAATAAGGTTTTCATTAGCTGGGTAAAGGGAACCTGCTCGATCTCAACTGACTCGGAGCATACATGTGTCTACATATTCTGAGTATGAACTGCTAAAATGACATGATGAATGACATTGATGGTAACGTGTCGTCAGACCCACGTACATGCTTTAGTGTTGAGTTGGCAGCTGAGCTGTGTGAGGGACACGAGGTCAGCTGCCTTTGCTCAGCTCAGCCTCAGACTTTGCCATAAATCCATGTGATTTCTTTTTCTTCCAATTAATATGCTGCTCCAATAAATCTTACCAAATTGTTATGTTGTTGAATTTTAATATTTTTCAAAGCTAAGATACGATTAGGTCTACCTTGTCAAAATTGAAATAATGTGAGACTTTGTTCCTTATGCTCACGTAATGCCCACGCAACCTCGTCCCCCCCCCCCCAGCAAAAAAAAAAAATCTCACAAAAAAAATTATATACATGGAAATATTGGACCAGACTTCAGCATCACAAAAATGGATGGGAAGTGCCTTTTAACACAATTTATTTCTCAGAAAAGAACCCCCCAAAAAGGGAACTAGTACAATAAGCATTTCATGGAAGGACAATGAAGGACAGGAAAGTTGTCTACACCTCAACATAGTGCTGTAAGTCAGACGCTATGTTCGTGTTCGTTTCGGTTCGGCAAAGTTTGGCAATTTTTCGACCGAACTTAGTTCGGTTGAATTTCACCTTAAAAGACTGCTCTAAACGTAATTATTTGTGAAGAAAAGTACTACTTACATTCGTATTTCCGTCTTGAATCATGTTTCATTTGCAATTTTAAAAGAATCATGTTTTCAATTTGTCAATAAATGATATTTTTTAATGATTTTCCGAGACGGTTGTTGTCTTATGTTAGAGTCATGAAAACTGCCATCTTGAACAGCGACTCAGGCTCGTGGATTACTGTTTTTAATAAGTGTTTATTTTCAATAGGAAAAATATAAAATCCCTATTTTTCCTGAATAAATAAATACCATACTATAATATATATTTATTTCATTATTTATATTGTAAAATTTGTCCGATATTGTTACAATTAAAATACTAATTTTTTTTGTTGAATGGGTTTGAGCTGAACTTGTTTTGATCAGCGCCTAGTTCACTCTTGTTTATGGCTTGCGATCGCGACGTAGCAGAGGTCAGGATTTGGGATTTAAATGGCACCAGTGAAGTCGCGCCCACCACTCGATAGGCATGAATCACAAAGGCGGAAAATGGGAAAAGAGTAAATATAAAATGAGCAATCATGACATGAAAATTAGGTACAAGATGACAAGTTTATTAGCTTGTGAAAACGTTTTCATATTTCTGCCGAACATCCGAACCAGGTCTTTGCGTTCGGGTTCGGTTTGGTTCGGTTCGGAAGTGCCATGTTCGGCGAACTGCCATTCGGTTCGGCGGTTCGGCTACAACACTACCTCAACATAATCAACTGCTTTGATTGACTGTGTGCATACATGTCATACATCAATGGAAAGACATGCCACGTTTACAACATAAGTATTGCTTTTATTGACTTCGAAAAGGTACATTACTTGACTGCTCAGTGGTAGAGCAGGGATCTCGTAACCTGAAGGTTCCAGTTTCGAAACCAAATCGCCCTTTGGTTGGGCATTAATCCTCATAACCAAGTCACTAGGAGAGGACTTAAATCCGTCAGTCCCCTGGTTGCTTAATTACAAGCATAAACATGCTGTCTTAGGAGTCCGGTAAAACAAACAAACACACAATATTGACAATAATGCATAAAGTAAAAACAAATAGAAGTATTTCAATGATATTTGGTTGATGTTTGTGGTGTTAAAGTACTATGTCCCTTTTGCAGGCAACCTCAAATTCTGTAGAACTTTGCAGGAATTATGAATATGTCATGTATGTCCTATCTGCGAAATTTAAACGTTAGCAGTGTCCTCATATTCAAATTATGCAAGGAAACCCGTTTAGTTGCTAGACTTCACTGTCAGACACTATTGAGTGACTGACTGGCTTTTTTTTTCTTCTTTGGTAATAACATACATGAAAAGAGTTGTAAAGGGTACATGAGCATTTGTCTACATCAATAACCCACTTCTTGTGATGGCCAAGATTAAACTGATTGAATCTTTGCGCAGCATAAAACGTATGACCATTCGGTACAATTGTCTGAAAATCAAGACTATTACTTTTGGGCTCTATAGCCCTAAAGTCTATTTGACAACTAATAGTCATTATTTTCCCACTTGAAGACATTTTCAAGCCCCACCTTTTTTAGGGAAGTTCTAAATTAGTATTATCTTTCAAATGCGATTATCTTCATCACCATGAAGCGGCACTTAACTAGAAGAAGAATTTAACTTTTTCGTTTTTTTGGCCTGCAAATGGGACATAGTACCTTTAAGTCAAAGGGCAAGGAATAGGGAATGATAGTAAAAGAATCTAGTTTGATTACTCACTAGGCAGTTACAATACAACCAAATGTATTATAGTTTAGACCCTCATACCTCTGATATATCGATGGTTGTCCTACTGAGACTATGTCTGGCTCCACTGGCTGCATCTATAATATCAGGGCTGTCAACTTGGGGGAACTTTGAGGGGGATCGTATGCAATTTTGTTTTGGCTCAACAGGGGAGGGGGGAGGTGTTGAGTAAGAAACAAAATTGAAGTGCTCACTACCCCCGCCCCACGTTTGGCAGAAAGGTTTTTTCATAAACCAGGAGATTGCATTTGCAAGAGAGCAGGAGGAAGGGCGTGGTGGATCTAGATCTAAATCTACACGTATATGAAGCTTGGATCTATTTTCTTTCTACTCAACATTTTCTAAATCAAACCGTTTAAAACCAGAGACAAATTTTTTTTCTCGCTGCATTGTGGTAAAAATCAGCTGTTACTCACCCATTTGTGCCTTTGACAAAAGGTACTATTTGTGTATGAAGAAGGTTGACAAATCATTTCAGTTAAGAATTTCCCATACCATTTCAGAATTCAAATGGAGTTTTCGCATGGCGATGCAAGTGCTGACTACGGGGTATTTAAATGAGCTGTGACCGTCTCTGTACTGGCTACCGTCCTGATCTAATTTGCACTAGGGAGTTTTTGCAACCGGCGACGCGGCCTTCTACAACGCTAATCTTAGGGGGGGGGGGGGGTCGCACTCGAGAGCAAAACTTTTTGCGTAGCATCCAAACCTACAAAGGTATTCAGCCAAATTATCGTCAGGAGTCGAGCTAGTATGGGGTGGGGTGATAAACCAAGCAGAGCGCTTTTTAATTGTGATGGCGAGGCTCGCATGCAAATGGCGGTACGACCTTGCTCACGTCACGCAAGCGCAGAAACTCCTGCGAGACTGCAAATTCGATCGCAACGGTAGCCAGAGTATGAACGGTAACAGCTCATTTAAATACCCCGTAGTCAGCACTTGCGTCGCCGTGCGAAATCTCCCTAGTACCAGAGACAAGAGTACAGACCATCCAGGGACCAGACAATAATTTCTGATATGATTATGTCATGAATCGTTACGTTTAATAGTCTAGACTCTAACGTTAGTACTGTAGATCTAGACATTAGCTAGCTTATTTTAACATCACAATCATGTCATCAGAATAATTAGATTCTTCTTTATTTATACTAAATGTCTAAATCTAAAAGAGCCAACATTGGGGAAGGTCTAACAGGATTCTATGTAAGGCTATCATCTTTTATCGACCCACGCCCACATCTCATTCTTACACCCACGGCCAATACATTAATGAATCAATGCACATGATACAGTACACACACCAATGACATTCATTATGGTCAGCAGCAAGTTGGGCAAACACACAAACCATACATTATTCCTTCTGTGTAGGGCCCTAATCGAGTAATGCATTCACCGCATCGCAGACTACAATTTCTGAATGGGCTATAACATCAAAGCCTAATAATCAACCAATTTAATCTTGAACAGAAGAAGAAATCAATCAAAATCTACCTACCCGTTCAAATAGTGTCAATTATCCTCCTCCTTGACGAGATCGCTATAATTCTCAATCAAATCACGAGAAATCAAGAATATTCATCAAAATTTCGGCTGCTCGGGGACATCGCTCGGCGAGATGTGATATGACGTCACATGTGTGCGCCGCTAGCGTTGACGTAAAATCATAAAGCTAGCTAGCTAGCTGGCTACAAATTTTTATTTTGAGGTCATCGTTTTTATTAGGGCTATACCTTCGAAAAGGGTTTTAATCGACAAAATCTGTGACACCACTATCTTTTAAAAAATCGTTTTTAATGCACCAAATTAAGCCCATTGGAAATAAATACAATCATACACTCCCCCGACGATCCTGCTTCTTTTTCCCTTTCTTCATCTAGAAATCCTCATAAGGCTACTTGCAAACTATCGCAAAGATTAACTTCAAGATTTGTAAATACCTCTCTGTCTATCGGATACATCTTTCTTTCTTTCTATCACCGTTTTGTTTGTTTGGTCTATTTAATCCTTCTCACTTCTTCTCATCAAATTTCCTTTTGCTCTCTCTACAAACTTTCATTATTCTTGATCTTCTCTAATTTCCATCTAGAACATTTGCTGTTCTGTTTTACTTTCATTCTTGTTTATAAATCTTTTAAATCAATCTACTCATGCAAATACAGACCATAGCTGCAAACATATTTCCTTTCTTTTCATCCCTTTCCTTTTTAATTCCTCCCGACCTCCCGATTGCTAAGCTTTCTTCTTTTCTCTCTCTCTCTCTTTCCCCACTGGCATCCCCTTCTCTCTCTCTCTCTCTCTCTCTCTCTCTCTCTCTCTCTCTTTCCAGCTAGCCCTTGATGAAAACATAAAAGCAACATCTGAACAATTCATAGAGTTTAAAGTTAAAGATTTATCTTTTAATTTCATATATCTAAAAAGATTCATCTGACAGAAGAAAGGACTTTTCAATAATTTCATATAAAATAATAATGATTATTATTATTATTACTGTTTATAAAATTATTTTGATACAGCAATGGACTCCGGATAAAATATAAATAAACTCAAGAGAATACTTTCATTGTTTACTAAAATCATGTATGCTTCCTCCCCAAAAGCCCAGTGACAAAGTTTTATATCTATAGTCTGTCTGTACTTGAAATGTATGCATCAATTAATTATAATTAATGTAATTTAATACTATAACTATATAAAGAGTTTAATTCTAAAAGTAGCTAAATCCATTTTTTGTAAATTCAGAGAAAAAAGTAATTGTTTACCAGATATTAGAAGGTGCATTTTTTCATAATTGCTCCCAAAATGTAGGTAAATAATTTTGTTGAAAGATAGGTACTTAAGTAAACAATGTTTTGATATCAATAACTCAATTTTCATCAAAAGTGGATTTAGCTCCTTTTGGAATTAAGCTCTTCATATATTCATTTCATTTGAAGATTGTTTTTTTTATTCATTCCAACTTCTTTATTCTCATTCTATCCAATGAATATCTTGTTATTTTTCAGAAACTCACAAATTTGAAACAAGTATCCAAACGTTATTCTCCACTCGAAATAATTAATCATTGACTACATATTTCTAATCATACCACTGTTTGGTATATCATTTATGTTTCTTGAATATATTTTCAAACAAATATGAAAATATGTTCTTGCATAGAAATAGAAATGGAAGAAATTGATAAGAAAGAACAAAGCTTTGATAATTACACATTTGTATGTATTACCACATTAGCGCAATCATTTTGAAATGCTTCCCATTGCTTGTCACAAATCTGGAGACACTTTGGAACTGCATACAAATGACATATTCTCACTGAAACAAATCCAATGAAAATGGAATATTTTAAGATGGATCAATTGCAGGGGAGTGATACAAATATACAACATGGCAGAAAGCCTAAAATAGTAGTTCCGGCTCAGCATTTCATGAAAACACAATTTTCTTGATATTTCCTTGGATGTTCCAGGATCATTATATCAATCTTTATCTAGTTTGTAACATCTTAAAAGTATCCTTTAAATATCTTCTCTTTGTAGACAAGACACAAAATAACTACTTTCTTTCCTGATTTTCCCCTGATTAGATAGATTTTCCTCAAATTCCTGACTTTCCTCGACTGAAAAGAGGAAACTTGTTTTCTAGGCTTTGCCTGATTTCTAGGATAATTGGAAACACTACTTTTATCGACTGGAATGGTTATATGCCTAAGGTCCACAGACACAAAGTAAGGCATTACTACATGTGTGGCTTCTACTAAAGTCCACAATTCACGGAGCTTTGCTGCTCTATGTTATGCTCCAACATTCCAAGAGTAGACCATACACATTTCTAAAATTACATATTCATACACCAGTGAAAAAAATACACCGGGGATCGGGGCAAATTAGCCCCCGAAATGCCCAAAAGTGCCCCCGAAAGTCATAAAAGAGCCCCCCAAAATTTGCATAGAGTTCAATGCAAAACAGATAGTAGCCCCAGAAATGTTGAAGTATTTTTTCCCCTGTCATACACATTTCTAAAAATACATATTCATAAACATGTCTAAAAACATATTTGTGGTTTACTATTTAAGCTTGAAATAGAATCATGCTTGTATCCTCTGCTGACAACCATACGTATGTACACATTTTTTGTATCATTCAAATAGAGGAATTGTTTTTTACCCATATATGCCGCATCTTCACTATATACCGACAGTAATGGGATATCGTCTGTTCAGAGACAGAAGGGTGTTGACTCTGTGTTAAAGTATATGAATTACCGGTAATGCCCTTCTGGCTCAAAAAAGACAACATGACTGGATCATGACCAACACATATTTCAGTTGCCTTTTTTAGTATAAAATATGTGCCAGTAGGGCACTGACCAGAATTTGGGCCTCCACCATTGGTGGCGTCCATTAAAAACACCATACTGCCTAGAAGGCAACTTCCTCCAATCAAAACGAAAGACAATGAAGTTGTATTCACACTGACATCTATGGAACCTCGGCTTCCATCATCATAAAGATGAGCACTTTCTTCTAAGCCATCATGATATCCACATTACAGCTGTTAACAGCAATCTGCCGTGCCATGGTACAACAACCGGAACACAGGCAAAGTTTGCGTAGACTTGCATCAGCATTGTTCAGCATGTTCAGGTGAAGATGATGGGCATGCTATACTGGATGGACAAATCCTCATGAAGTAGAAAGAAGTGCATCACTCTGTTATCCACTATACCTAGAAACATGAAAAACAAAAGGGCAAACAAAAATATAAAAGTGTCTGATTGAGATGCCACAGTTTATTTTATTTTCAACATTTAAATGCACAATAATCCAGTAACTATAATACATTGTACATGTAGAAATACGCTGACAAATATTTTCTACAAACTAACCCTTATAAGTTATGCCTAAATGCATTGCTGTCCTTTTTTAAAAGGAGAATAAATACTGGTACAAGTCTTTGAAGTTCCGAAGGAAGTAAGCTTATATAAAATAAGATTTTCATTCTTTTATTTGTCAACGTCTGTGAAAGGTAATTTCTAAAGTTAAATATAAAGAAAGAACATTTTCTTCTCTTTCATTGTTTGTTTTATGAGTTAACTGGGGAAAAGATAGCTATACTTAAAGGGGAATTCCACCCTGATATGAAGTTCATTTGAATAGAACAAGAAAAATGAGAGAAACAGATCAGTGAGAGTTTGAGCAAAATCCAATGTAAAATCAGAAAGTTACACATTTTTGAAGTGGTAATCAATCAAACACAAATTGGCAACTCTGTGATATATCTTTCAAGGTTCCCTTCTATCTGCAAATTGGAGGGGACCTCACATGATATGTCACATTGTTCCCAAGTTTTGTTTCACCGAATATTAAAATTCATATTAAACATTCCTACTTTTAATCGGATATTGCTCAAACAATTGTTTCTCTCATTTTTTTGCTTTTATTAATACCAGCTAATTATTAGGGTGGACTTCCCCCTCTGACTAAACATTTCATTTAGTTTCATTCTCCCACATTAGACTTACTACAAATAATCTTTGCTGGGTTGAGCTGTTGACCTGACAAGAAATGGATAAACTTTCTGATGTCCACTCGAGCTCCAACAAGATCAGTCGGGTCCCTCTGGCTGTTCTGAGAATCCGCATTATCTGTTTCAATAGTAGGAAGAAAAAAAAACAAGAACAAATTGTGAGAATTGTGAATAATTCGGGAATAAATTAAAACAGACTTAAACAGAACTGAGATGACTGTAAATAACTTATAGTTTAATATAATATCCTGTGAAGCTGACAAGTCAGCATGGATTTCTTTTCTCTCCAGATAATCATGACTTGCACTTTATGTATTTCACCCAAGAGGGCAGCATTCTATTCAAAAAGGGCAAATGATACTTTTCATAAGTTCACAATAGTGAAGAAATAAAACCCTAAGGCCTTCACAATTACAACGTATATTACTGGTAAGCTATTCCTCATAGCAACATGTTGAATTTGGTATAATATTTTTTCTACATTTATAAAAAAAAACACAGGTACTAGATCCATGCTTTCAACTGTAATGTAAACAACTGAAAACCATGTCACTTACCCAAGTCAGGATTCTCTAGATTTCGAAAGTGTGTTGATACTGTGACCTGCTCGCTTTCTACTCTTAATCTCATCTCTCCACTCTGGTTAGCAGATAACTCCTTTGGGAAACAGAGCATGGGAATATATAATTATAATATAGATAAGAATAAACCACACATTATTGATATGTTGATTTTTTTTCTTCTAAACTAAATATGTACTTTGGTGGTGGTGGTTATTTTACCTGACTGCTGAGAAAGCATAAATGCTTGTAAGTAAGCAACCAGGCGGCCAACGGCTTTAGGTCCTCTTCGAGGGACCTGGTAATGAGGATTAATGTCTTACCAAAGGGCACTAGCGCATCGCCTTGGTTTTGAACCTGGGTCACCGGATTACGAGACCACTGCTCTACCGACTGAGCTATCGAGCCTCCTATGTAGTTGTTGATAAATATGTTGTTGATAAATATGTAGATGTAGGAAGGACAAATTATTTCCTGTGGTGTAAAGTATCTAAACAAATTTACTGATTACCAATGTGAGGACGATGCCCAACAACAAGTAGAAGGTAAATTAGAAATAGTAAAGCAAACTGAAGTCCTGGTAAATCTCTTTGGTTGTTTTTTCTCAATTTTTATCTCAAGTGAGAAATCATACATGAGTAAAAACAGACATTTGGACATGACAGCAGGTTTCACATTTTCATTAAGTTGTCAATAATGGATGAGCAATCTTCATTCAAAAGAAAAGCAATTATAAGCTTGTTGCAAATCGAGCTACCTTGTTTCGTAGATCAAAGCCTTGCTAACTCTGGATTCTCAAATCTGATGTACCGTATTACTTTATTAATTACCAAACCCTTGACTACAATATCACCTTATACTCATTTATGATTAAATAAAAGTTTCAGGAATACTTACTAGATAGCTTCCAAGATTCTTCATTCTTTCAGCCACAGTTCTTATTACTTTTAATGGTGGCATGCAGATAGTAGCCTGGAAATTGTAACAATAATATCTATATTATGAGCAAGTACCGATACAAACATTTCCACACAAAAAGTGACCATAGGCATATGTTATACAATCAACCGCTGGGATCTCAGAATACCCACAATATAGCAGTAGCCAGAATACCTCTAGCATCTCCAGTGCTTAGTGTTTATGGGTACAAGAATCGAAATAATGATATCTGGTGATTCAGAGATTATGTTCTCATAATCTCATTACGCATGATTTATAGTCGTACGTTTCAGTCAATCGTTAATTGTGTTGTATATTGACTTTGTAAATTGAATAATTTCAGCTTCCCAGCTGCATGTTCTTTTATTTCAATAAACCGAATCAAATCAAATCAAATCAAATCATAACACATCTACCTTGTGGGTTTGTACCTAAACCATTCTCAAGGGTCACTCAGTCTTCATCATACAGACACAGGGGCCCGTTCCTAGAAACCGTCATAAGTCTAACTTCTTGACTATCCCATTGAAACGCGTGTTAATTATATAACACACGTTTCAATGGGATAGTCAAGAAGTTAGACTTATGACGGTTTCTAGGAACGGGCCCCAGGTGCACAGAAAAGGTCAACTTCAAGACAACTTACAGATAGCCTTTATGTAGTCTACTTGGAAAGCTGTCGTTCTTTTTCAATCTATTCTCCCTAACTTAATATTTGAAAGACCATTCTTGTAACTAGTTTTCAAAAAGACCTAGCTGTTCAAGAGAGCAGGCCTGTAGAAGAAAACTTACATCAAAATCTGGTAGAGTTGGTTCACTATATTCCTCCCACTGTCTCCTTGGCATCACAATGACAGGTATATCATGAGTGATAGTTCGGCTGTGTCCTGTTCTGGACGGCTGAAAAGATAAAAAAAAAAGAAAAAATTGCCATTTTGTCAGAATTCCTCACATTCACAATGTTTCCTTTTTTTAATTTTTTTTAACTTGTCCACTTTCATTTATGTTTAGCAACAGTATTGTGTTATTCCAAGTTTAGATTACTTAAGAGCCAAGTGTTGACTAAACTAGTTGCATCTACAACAATTACCCAAGTCAAATAATGTTATGCAATAAAATAAGATCTTGTCAGTTTCATTACTAACATAAACATAAATCTTCACACAGAAAATCAAATTTTATTATATCCACCGATGTTTCACCCTAACATCACCTCCACTGCAAACTACACATCATATCCGAAGTTATTCTATCAAGCCATAGAGTACCAAAGTGCTATTATCATACTCGCTCCTCCTCCCGGTTCTAAACAACAGAGCCTGCGCAAGAGGTTCACTGCAAAATCATTCAAGCAACGGCCTGGAGCAGGGCAAATTCAATGTTTGGGGCTGGTGTGATCACCACCATTGTTTAACAGAAAATTGTTTGGAACTAGTAACCTTGACGACTTGGCTCGTATAAGGTTACACATCGGTACTCTATACTCTCTAAACAGGGATGTCAGTAAGAATTGATCAGAGGGCCTGAAAATCACCTAAAAAGAGCTACTTTGTACACAAAGAAGCCTAAACTATGGCCTGAAAGTAAATCGCCCGGGCCTGAATTCAGGCTCTTGCCTGAAAACTGGCATCTCTGTCGAAAGTAGAAAGTAGTAGAAAGAAAAGAGAATCTTACCAGCTCCACATCAAGTGACAAGCAGGGACTGAATTTCTTGGTGAGTTTGATCTTGACGGACTTGGCGGTCTGAGCAGTCTTGAGCGCCCTCAGAAGGTCATCGGGATTGACCTCCATGTAGATCTCATTAGCATCCTCAGCTATGCCTTCCATACTGAACTCACTGAAAAGATTTAGCTGTAGGAGGCGACAAGAGAGAGGGACAAGGAAGTTATAAGGGACAGCTAACATATTGTTTACATCAATTATAGTGAATCCTGTATATAAAGACCACCAAAGGGAGACAAGAAAGTGGTCTTTAAAGGCAGGTGGTCTTTATGTACAGGTTCCTTTGGTACATGTGTCAATGAAATACCATATTCAAGGGAAACAACAATTGTGGTCTTTGTAGACAGGTGGTCTTTGTAGACAGGTGGTCTTTCTATACAGGTGGTCACTAAAGCAGGTTTGACCGTATATAACTACACAGCAACCACCTTATTCTGGAAAGATTTTAATATTTAAAAATAATTGTACTATTAACTTTGTTTTAGCCAATGTCCCACTTGAGGTAGGAAAAGCATTTTTAAGGAATACATTCTTGCCATATATCCATTCACTACATGTGGGCTGAGGGTGGTAAATGTAGTTGTAACAGTATAGTTTTCACAAGAAGCAGAACTTAAGGTAGCACAAGGAAATTACCTGGAATGAATTGATTTAACTGACTGAATTGATTGTATATGAAACTGAATAACATTCTTCTAGGGTATTACAAGTAGATTAAATTTGAATTGTTACAATTATTACTGAATATTGTCATTGTCTTTACAAGTTGGAGACAATGTCACGTTCATTTAACATATTTCTAATGGGTATCATTATCCTGAGTTATCTATGCCTTTGCATTTAATGAGGTAACATACATTCAAAAGATGATTAATTGTGTATTTAGATTAAACCAAAGTCCACAATAATTTTATAGTTTTTAATATTTAAAGTTTTTATTTAATTTCTTATGTAAAATGCCTGAAATAACGAATGCTCATCAATGAATAAAAAATCTATAGGGTCTATATGCATGAAAATGCTCTCAACGGGGTCCATGATTTCAGACATTCATTGAGTATTGATACTTAGGAACAAAACCAAGTTTACTTACTGCTTGAAGATCACACCAGAGATGTCCCTTTGATACCTTATCATTGAGAATAAAATACATCCTATCTGAGGTTATTCTCAATACACAAAGCTGAGTCAGCTTAGCTATTGTACCAACAACTCCTACAAAAAGTGATAAGGAAAGAAAAAAAAATTGTTATGTCCACTATTTAAAAAATTGAATTAAATTGTCTATGTTCACTTTTCAAAATAAGTAAAAATGTTGAACTAACGGAAAACTGATTGATAACATAGGCAACATGCCGGTCTACAAGAAGATGACCCAAAATTTCTGCAAAAACATTACATTGTCCTGAAGAAGAAAACAAATTCATTTAGGTTTAATCAAGTCGTGTTTACACTGTAAGAAAAGCAGGCTGATAAGAAGATTTCTAAAATTCTTTCTAGACTTACTGGTAAATTGCTCAATGGTTCCAACATCAAATATCTTTGCCCTGAAACGCATGGTGTTTGGTGTATCATCAAAAGCACTTCCCTCAGAAAGTAACAAGTGAATGTTGATCGACTTGAGGGCTGTTGACAAGGAAAAGTAAGAATAGGTACATCGATAAACAAATTCAGGGATCCAAATCATGAACGGATTTGAGGCTGTAGAGAAGAATGACATGTTTGAAATCATCGAAGAATCCAGAACAAGGGGACACAGGCTCAAAATAAGAAAGCCCCACTGCAAATCTAAGATGAGGCAGATGTCATTTTTAGTGCGAAGCATATATAGCTGGAAAACCCTTCCTGAAATTGCCATTAGTGCCTCATCAATCAATAAGTTCAAGTCAGAACTTGAAAATTATTGGAAGCATCATCTGCTGAAATACTGCCTATACCAACATGAATCCAATGCAGTAAAGAGGGGCACATAAGCTGAAGCTTCAAGCCTCACCACCAAAGTAAGTTTGTCAATCCAATTAGACCCAAGTTTATTTTTATTCCACTTTTGTAAAACTAATTGTAGAATCTAGACCTATAAAAAAATATTGTAAAATACATCCTGTAGTCTAGTCTACATTCATTAAAAACATGCAATTCCATTTATAATGACATGATGTACATAATCATATATAATTATATAAATCAATGACAGAACTAAATCGGGCACAGCTGTAAAAAACAACAAGGATTTGTAAATTGTAAAAACAGCTTCGCTAAAATTTAAAAAAAAGTAAAATTAAAAAGCCAAGGCACGCTTAATTCGGCCATTTCTGTGCATGAACCTTAGTATACTAAACCTGTTTGTGTAGGAAGGAATCAAGCCCACAAACATGACGGTTATCCTATACTTTAGTGTTTTATTATTTTGGGTTTCTAACTTCAGTTTAACCCTAACCCTAACCCTAACCCTAAACCTAACCCTAACCCTACCCTAATCCTAACCCTACCCTAATCCTAACCCTAACCCTAACCCTATGATATGCACGTAGACTCTAGAGCTTTTAACTGAAGTTAGAAACCCAAAATAATAAAACACACTAAAGTATAGGATTGCCAACATGACTAACTAAAATTCTTACTTAGTCTGCATTTTCTTTGTTTGTTTGTTTGCTTTTTTATTTTTTTCTATTTACTGAATAGAAATGGTCCTTTTCAAGACATAAATATTAACGTATGGGACTGATCTAAATTAGCTCTCTTGAAACTTTTCCCAAAATTTCGATATCAACACCACTTCCTCAAGTTATATGTTGTAAGTCTGATTCACTTTTGGCATATATCAAAGATACATTTTCTTAAAGACGAAAAAATAGTATTATTCTTACCTGAAATAGTGTTCAACTCCGGTTCAACTTCAAATTAAATCAGCCGCGAAACAAATTTAGGATCGAGAAATTGGAAGTCTAGCGCCAGCTAGGTTGTGATACAAATACAGTTTGCTTGATATATGAAACAAAGAATGTAAAGCTGACGGAAATAAAATAATTGTTGCTGAATTTACAGTTTTGTTGCTTGAAATGCTATTCTCTATGATTCTGATTAAAAAAATAGGAAATTGATATCCAAATTCAACCCGACAACAGCACATTTCGGTTTAACATTGCTGACTGAATATTATATCCAATGTAGGTCGCCCGGCTGGCTGTCAGACCCTGTGGCCTAATGGATAAGGTGTCAGCCTCCGGAGCTGAAGATTGTGGGTTCGAGTCCCATCAGGGTCGAAATAATGGAGGACATTTTTACTCAAAACATGTGTATGTCATTACAACGGGAGATCAATTCCTTGATATGGCAACACTAAAATCTTGGGTAATATATGATAATTTATGAACGAAACAGACTCTCTCAGTGTGACATTCGTGGGAAAGTATGAATTAAAACCCTATCTATCACCTGATTATAAGCATTTCCTCAACGATTTCTATCACATTTCTGAATACAGTATACACCATACATATCCTGTATATATTCTTGATTCTAAGAAAGAATGAAATAACGTTTAAAATAGTCACCATTTTGGTGATAATTTCAAAATGAAATGTCAAAAAAATAACAGATTAGAATGTAGTACTGAACAAGCAGCAATATAATGATTTTGATCAATATGCTTCTTTTTCTGCTCCCACTTACAGGACATCAAGTTGTTGATGTCCACTTTGTTTCATTTGCTTATTATTCTTTGTCTCCTTCTCTTCCCCTTCCCTTGTCTTATCCTTTTCCTCCTCCACTCCTTTCCTTTTCTCCTCCTCCTCCTCCTACTTCTTCTTCCTCTTTTTCTCCTCCTTCTTTTTCAAGTTAAAACCAGGGATATATGTAGGGAAAATAATAAGTAGGCTTTTCTTTTTATTAGTGGACTAGTAGAAAATAAGGGGGCACTGAAAACTGCACCCCAGCACCCCCCCCCCCCTCCCCTTTTTCTTCATGATCTTGGATCTCTGCTGCAAGATAGTTTGCAGTCACAAACCCTCTACACAGTGAGACTAGGCCGACATCATACTGCATATGCTCTGTATATTTGACACGACCTTTCTATCTTGATTTGATTTTGTTTGTTGACTATTTTTTATATATTATATACACAATTACATGTCATAAATGACTATTTTTAGGAATTCTTCTTTTCCATTCTTTTTCTTTTTGCTTATTTTTTGGAGAAAATTATAAAATTATATTTTTTTTTTTTTTTTTTTTTTGGGGGGGGGGGGGGGGGGGGGGGGGACAAGACGGCCTAGCTAGTTTACTGAGCTCGGTTCTTATCAATGCTTTAGGAATTGTGGTTAGGTGTAGAGTCTTCAGACTATCTGCAGGATTGGTCTTGCTCATTGTTCACTGCTAAGGAATGATGTGTAGCGCCATCTATAGACAGGAAAAGTCAATGATACTTTTTCCTGTGACATTCAACAGTTTTCATCTTTTAAACTTGCATTGTATAAAATTATCTCTCATAATTTCTTCCCCAATCTCTCCTTATCCTGCCTCCGTTTACCCTTCACCCACTGGATGTTCATGCCCCGCCCCCTCCCATCTCTCTTTCTCTCTCTCCCTCTCTCTCTCTCTTTCTCTCCCATCTTCATGCTGCCCTCCTATCATCACTCTCAGAGAATCAGGGGCACACACAAGATTTACATTAAAAAATTAGTCTATCACAAGTATCAACAAGATTTTTTATTTCAGAATATTTCTTGACATAATGCATCATGAATAAGTTAGATCATTCCTGAATGACAGATCTTACATCATTTATATCATTACATGCATTTGATAGGAAATATTTTCTATTGCATGCCACCTCATGCGAACAGATGATCTTTCAAGGTAGGACTGCAACCCATATCACTCAATTCGCATTTATAAACAAGTTACCATAAATATATGACTTAAAGGTAATACAAAGTTTTGGGAAATTTTGAAAATTGGGTGGATAGTAATTCTGTACCATTTTGATGTATTTGGATGCCCCTGTGGAGGTATTATAAGCACTAGAAAATTTAGCCCCTAAAACACTTCTGCTTTCGAGAAAAATTTAATATAAAAATTTACCGGTGCTCCCGGTAAATTTTGATAAATTTCAAATAGCGCCTACGGCCGTACAATGGTAGCTGCGATCATAAAAATTCCTGAATATATAGTTGTGATATATAATATCCAAACGGGAATAGCTAATTGGTCGATTTTAGTCAAGAAACATCGTTTTATAGCTTAATCAATATATTGACCTTAAGAGGGAGCAATATAACAAAAAGAGTTTATTATTAATAATTTCATAACTTTAGACTCGATTTCAACCGCGACAATGATCAATGAATATTGTAGGATCGCATATGCTTCCAATATATTCATTTGAACCAAATTCATGACCCCATACCAAAACTTTGTATTACCTTTAATGATAAGCATGATTTGAGTTAATATGCTGCAATTAGAATAATTTGACATGGGCCTACTGTAGAAAAAAAACCTGAAATATGAATTAAGGCTCATGATTAGTAACTTGAATAACTTCACAAGAATAGAGTAATTACAGTCACAACAAATCTCTAAATATGCCAAACTAACAAAAGTTTTAAAAAATTAATTCAGTAATAATATCAGCACAAATGACAAATAAAATATGAAATTATACATAAAGAGCAAATGCAAAAACTGAACAAATTATGAACATACTTCCAGGTACATGTACAAGTCATAATTATATGATGTGATGTGGTTAATTCATTTCATATTTATTCTGAGTCTGATTGCTTCATTGCTCATACCCCCATGAACCATTTATATGATTCATCCTTATAAATAGTTTAGCTCAGCCCACTTTTTCACATCATATCAAATCTCCCGAAGCTACAAGGCTCTAATATGATCACTAATCATTACCAGCTGAATGGGACGTACATGATGACAATGATTCAATTTGTGGGCAATTGGTTAAAAGAGGGAACGGTCACGCCATAGTCAGCGAAAGTGTGACCCATATTTTTTTTTGTGATTGAAATTTCTTAAAGTAGATCACAACAGTATTTTAACGTCCTGGAACTAAAACAAGGGCAATGGGTTTTCTATTCTATTCTATAATTATATAACAATATGCAAATTGTATTTACGTGCATGCCACTTCCATTAAACACTAAACAAAACAAAAATAAAGTATACATTTTACATACAAAAAAAATACAATGTACTATTTGAAATCAAGATTCTTTATTCTGGTACAATGCAGTATCATTTGATATATGTTACAAAAATGTTTAGATTCCTGGTTCTGAAAACTATTAAAAGAAATATGAATGACTGAAGCTGAAACATCTGCTATTTACTATATTTTGCTGGTGAATTCTAGGTGTGGTCCATTAATAACCGATCCTATACGTACACAAACTATTTACATTTATGTAATGTATTTATTGCAATTCACTCTTATCTTGTCTCATCAGTTTTCACACAATTTTTTCATTCATATTTCTCATAACAATTCTGCATAGTTGCTTTTCTTCAAAACAAATTGTTGCTGTAAAAGAAACACTTCTCTTCAATATTGTCTGTCTGTCTCTCTCTCTCTCTCTCTCTCTCTCTCTCTCTCTCTCTCTCTCTCTCTCACTCTATCTTCCTGTTGTCCAACTCATTTCCCCTTCATCCAGTCTCTTTGTATTCTCACCCTTTTCCCTGCCCCTTTAGTTTCTTTGTTCCCCCAAGCACTCCACTCCAAAGATCATTTGATCCATACCTTCCTAAACTTGTAACACCCATTTGTCAACTCTGCAGTCTGCTAGCAACACAAAGACAGCCAACAGGTGACAAACAGAGCTTAACCCAGTCCACTTTCTATACCCACCAAAACGGAACTTCTATCTATCCTCCTCATTAGACAAATTGACAACATTAGCTCAGACCTCCTTTACAGAGGACCACAGGTTGTCTCTCAAAAATAATGACAATAATGACAAAAACGTGGCCAAGAATGGGATGGTTTAGTTTTGGTCAATTAAGGAGGAATGATAAGTTGTCTTCTCCACCAGGATATATCTGATTGACCCCGAGGAGATTGGGCTGTTAAGGAAGCATGAAAATGATTGAAAATGACATTGTCTGGACTGGGGGTAATTTGTCTATTGACATTCACAATCCATGTGACATCACAAACTCATGAATAGAAATGCAATTATCATAACAAAGTTACAAGTCAACATATAATGGCGGCATTCACAAACTGTTGTTGATTTTAAACAGTAAGGTAAACATTGACAGTAAGACACTATTTGTTTGGAGTCATAAGGGCATTCAGTTATATCACTTTACACAGATTTAATGCCCTTCTGGCTCCAAACATTATGTCAATGTTGCATGAATGGAAATTGTACTGCATAAGATTGTCTACCTTATCAAGTGACAAGACTAGGTTATAAAACTTTTTGACAACTTTTATTGAATAGGGAATACTTGGACATAACTTACACATGCCATTCATAGAATCTTACTTTATTCTCAATATATTTTAGCATTATGGTTCATAAATTTGGTCACACATTCACACATTTATCAATTCTTTGTATTGTTATGCCAGTTTATTCAGGCTCAAAATAAAAGTCTTTTATAATTTTTGTTTATCTCAAATCATCTCTCTCTCTCTCTCTCTCTCTCTCTCTCTTCTTCTACTTATAGGTTTGGTTTGGTTTTATTTTATTTACGATCATGAAATATAAAATACAATCAATTAATAATCAATTAATAATAATAATAATGATAATATGGACAAACACCATGGAACAGAGTGCATACATAATTTATGATCATAACCACAACAATATATTCCCAGACACTACACCATCCAATTACCCCCCCCCCCCCTAGCTAAATTCAATTTCAGTTTTATTGAAGGGTCTATTTTAGGAAAATAAAATACACTCATAATACAGATTACACAAATAACGGAACTAGGCAA